GATTATGAATATTTCACTGCTGAGGGAACAGAGGCAGAGGCACCTAACTCACTTGAAATCATCCCATAGCTAGTCCCTAGGCAGGCTACAGGCAGTAGCCTGGAATTCCAGATGTGTTTACTAACTTCAATGCTTGTAGTTCTAGGAACCAGTTTCCATACATAATAGCATTTTTTAGACAATAGTGCTCACTCAAATCAGTCAGTGTGGTTTACCTTTGAGAGGGTTTGCTGCCAAAATCTTGATGCTATTAAAATCTTTGTCAAAAAAGGAATTCCTCATACCTCTGTTCTTAGAGTGTGAACCACGGCACCATGATATAAGTAAAACATGCAGTGGAATTCTTCTGGCCTTTGAGGGAAAACAGTATGAAGCAAAAACACGCAAACCTTTTTACTTGAACCCTGGGTGAACATGCGATTACATCCTCCTCCTCCACCTCCTCCACCTCGCATGTGATTGGAATAGAATTTGAGAGCTGAAAAGGCCCTTCTTATAGTTCATCCTCCCCATTTAACAGATGCAAAAAATGGACTGATGTGTAAAACAGGTTTAAAGAGTTGTAAAGAGGTAACTTGTCCAATGCCATGTAATTAGGTCCCTGGTAATTAGGGAATTGGAAGTCAGGTTTCCTGAGTGGTGCTTGCAATAAACTGTGTTGCTTCCCTCAATTGATGATGTGGTTAACCTGAGAGCCAGGTAAGTGGAAGCATAACTATTGAATTCTTCTACTTGCTTAAGCAAACTTCAAATATTGAGGAGACAGTAAAAGGAAAATAAATCTTAGACTGTAGCAGGAGAGCTATCTACTGCACCAGCACCATGGATAAGGGCCCTTTTTTGTTTTTGAAAATCATGGCGCCACCCTTCGGGAACAGGAAAGATTTGTTTTGTCTGTTTATTGCACGCTGAGCCCTTGCTGGATACCAGCCACTTTCTACTAGAAACTGGCAGTACAGTGATGATTAAGACAGTGTGCTTAAGGAGTTGAGAGTTTAGAAGAGAAAACCAACATACAGACAGTCATTTTTTTTTTAAGTGTGATTAGTTTGTTTATTCATTCATTCATTTATTCATTCCTTAACAAAGCAGCCAGAGAGATACTTTTATTTTTTATTATTTAAAAAAATATTTATTTATTTATTTGGTTGCGCTGGGTCTTAGTTGCAGCAGGTGGGCCCCTTAGTTGCTGCTTGCGGGCTCCTTTAGTTGTGGCTCGAGGGCTCCTTACTTGCGGCATGCAAACTTAGTTGTGGCATGCATGTGGGATCTAGTACCTCGACCAGGGATTGAACCCAGGCCCCCCTGCATTGGGAGCTCAGAGTCTTAACCACTGCGCCACCGGGGAAGTCCCCAGAGAGATACTTTTTAAAATGTGAGTTAGATCACATTGCTGTTCACAGTCTTCCGGTGATTCTCCTTTCTACTTGTAATTAAAGCAAAGTGCTTAGAATTGCCTGTAAGGCTCTACTCACTTCTCCCCACTCTTCAGACCTCATCCTCTACTACTTGCTTCTTTGCTGGGCTCCTTGATACTTAGTGCCAGGCATACTCCCCCTGCTTGGCAACACGCTTCCCTCAGAAATCCATATGGCTTGTTCTTTCATATTCAAGGGTTAACTCTCAAATGTCACCTTCTCAGTGAAGCATCCCTTGACTATTTTATTTACAATTGCAGCTGTGGCTCCACCTACCTAGCATGGCTTAGCTCTCTTTTCTGTGCTACTTTTCTCCATAGCATTTCTAACTTATTGTATAATTTAATTCTCTATTTTGTTTGTCTCCTTCATTAGAATGTGAACTCCATGAGGGCAGGACTTTCTGCTTTGTTTTCTGCTGTACTCTGCATCTAGAATAGTGCCTGGCACACAGGAGGCATTCAACAAGTATTTGTTGAATGAATAAATTCAACAAACACTTAGCACCTATTACTAACAGGCGATGTGCTGGATTAATTATTTGGTAGAAGTAGTGATGAAGTGCAGTACAGTGGGACCACATGGGAGCAGCTAACCTGGTCTGTGGGATTCATCAGGGAGGTTTCCCGAGAGAATTGACCATTGAGCTGGATTTAGAAGAATGAGTAGGAGGAGGCCAGGTGACAGTCTTCAGATCAAGTTATAAGTTTGGAGGAATGTAACTTGTCTTTATTGTAGCAATTTGAGCTGTGGTTCTCCATAGGGTAGGATAAAATTTCAGAAAACAGATGCTAGGAGTTGAACTTTGTTTAGCACCTTCGAAGATTTGAGCATAGATTTTAGTAGCAAAGTTGTATATGTATGTATTAATCTTGGTATTAATGAAACCATTCGGGGGTTGGAAATTACCACAAATTTAGTGGCTTCAAACAACACATCACTGCAAGGTTTCTCAACCTCCGCATTATTGCTATTGACATTTTGGGGGGTATAAGTCTTTGTTGTGGGTGCTGTCCTGTGCATTGTATGATGTTTAGCAGCATCCTTGGCATTAAAAAATTTGAAATTGGCAATTCCTTAAACACGATATTCATACAACTAACTGTATTAAAGGTAGAAATAAAGTGCTTTTAAAACAGTTTGCGGGGGCTTCCCTGATGGCGCAGTCATTGAGAGTCTGCCTGCCGATGCAGGGGACATGGGTTCGTGCCCCAGTCCGTCAAGATCCCACATGCCACGGAGCAGCTAGGCCCGTGAGCCGTGGCCGCTGAGCCTGCGCGTCTGGAGCTTGTGCTCCACAACGGGAGAGGCCACAACAGTGAGAGGCCCGCGTACCGCAAAAAAAAACAAAACAAAACAAAGAAAAACAGTTTGCGGGGCTTCCCTGGTGGCACAGTGGTTAAGAATCCACCTGCCAAGGCAGGGGACACGGGTTCAAGCCCTGGTCCGGGAAGATCCCACATGTCACGGAGCAACTAAGCCCAAGCGCCACAGCTACTGAAGCCCGTGCGCCTAGAGCCCATGCTCCACAACAAGAGAAGCCACTGCAGTGAGAAACCCGCGCAGCGCAATGAAGAGTAGCCCCCGCTCGCCGCAACTAGAGAAAGCCCGCGCACAGCAACAAAGACCCAACACAGCCAAAAATAAATAAATAAATAAATTTATATATTTTAAAAAAAACAGTTTGGACCCTGGGAATTGGAGAAGGTTCACAGAGGAAGAAATATTTGAGTTGGACTTAGAAGGTTTGTATTGGAGGATAAAGGTACATCTCACACAAAGGAAGTCTCATTACCAAAGGCTAGATTGTGTTCAGAATACTCCTGGGAGTTGCCTTCTGGGGAGAAGGGGCAGATGAATGAAACTGGGTTGTAAAGAGTCCTAAATATATGTGAAGGTGAAGGGACTTAGGCTGTTTTCCTGCACTATTTTCGTTTCTGTTGTTGTCTAACAAATTACCACAAACTTAGTGGCTTAAAACAACACAAATTTATTATCTCTCAGTGGGTCAGGAGTCATGGCTTCAGCTAGGTTTTCTTTTTCTTTTTTTTTTTTTCTCTTTCTTTTTTCTTTGGCTGTGCCACGCAGCTTGTGGGATTTTAGTTCCCTGACAAGGGATTGAAGCCAGGCTCCCAGCAGTGGAAGCGTGGAGTCCTAACCTCTGGACAGCCAGTGAATTCCCTCAGCTGGGTTTTCTGCTAAGGGTCTCAAAGGGATGAAATTAAGGTGTCAGTGGACTCCAGCCTAAGGTCCCCATTTCCTTGTTACCTGTTGGCTGCGACCACTCTCATCTCCTAGAGGCTGCTCTCAGATTCTTGCCTTATAATTCCATAACATGGCTGTTTGCTTTTTCAATACCGGCAGGAAAATCTCTGGCTTAAAATCTCTCCCCCGGGTTGCTTAGGATGAAGTCTTATGTAACAAAGTCATCAAGGGAATGACTCTTCCATCACTTTTGCTATGCTCTTGGCTAGAAGCAAGTCAGGTTCTACCCACACTCGAGGGAATAACACAGAGGCATGGATATCAAGAGAAGAATTTCTGGAGCCATATTAAAATGTTGACTGCCATATGTACTTTTAGCTCCATGAAGGCAGTAGCCAGGTCTTTTCAAATTTTTTTGCTCAGCATTGTGTCTCTGGTGCCTGGCACATAGTAAGTGCTTTATAAATATTTGTCGAATGAAATCAATGAATGGTAGCGTTGAGTGTTACTTATGGTTTCAGCTCTTACACTGGTAATTTCACATGGAGAAGCAGTCTAGTTTCTTTGGCATTATTCATTTCTTTAAGTAAAACTATAAACATTTTTACCTGGAATCTTAAAGTAAAACCTAAAATTATTTGTTTATCATAACAAGTGTCAATCAAATCTGTTATCTCAGAGAGACAACACCCATTGGAAAAATAATTTAGGGCTACATTGCACCAAACTGGCAGATTTCTTGTAACAGCCAGAAATGATGGCAGCTTTGGAGTTGTGGAGGTGGTGAGTAGTTAGGTTGTCTGAAGTTTCACAGCTATTGCTAATAACAATAATTTCAAATAATAAACAAGTATTTCAAAACGCTGGAAATACTGATTGTTTTGTAATAACTGCTTTATAATATTGACTTTAGTCTAAGTTGTGCTTAGAACTTTATATATAGTTTGGTGTTATTATTAATTATGGTGGTTCTCCATACTTGTCATAGGAAACATTTTGAGCAATATTTAGATCTTGAGTTATCCGTTGATAAAGGACCATTTTACCTTCAGAAAATCAGGTATTTCTGACACCAAAGTCTGTGTTTTTCCAGTGGACCTTGCTGTTCAAAATGGGGTTGTGAGAATCTCAGTATGTGCCAGTTGGTCCTGGAAGCCACAAAGTAAGCAAGGCACATCTTCCTGGACTATCAGTTTTAGTGACTATATTCAAAGGTAAAATATTTTTTTCTATTAAATACAGGTTCAGTATGTTATAGGATAGAATGCAAAATATGAATGAATTCTAAAAATAAATTTCTTACGGCATGTTGCTTTACGTGGCTCCCCCTGGGTTCTCTCTTACCTTGATTTATGGTTACTCTCCTCTGCCCTTCAGGTGTGTCCGTGGACAAGTTTGAGAGGCACTGTACTGTACCAGTCTCCCTTTAACTGGATCTTGGCAGATGGTAAGATTCAGAGACATTTCAGGTGGAGGTTAGTGGTACAAGGAAAGAAAAATCAAGGGCCAGGGTCCCTTTCCCTCTGTCCACAGGAGATATTTGAGGAGACCTGGTCTCCTGGTAGATTGGTGAGGGTCTGGCTGGTCCCAGATGGCCTCAGTCACTCACGGTGGGGGGTGGCATCACAGTAGCTGGAATGATCGATGGCTGAGCCTCTCTGCATTTGGTCTTTTATCCCAAGCTTCTTCCCATGATTCAAATATGGTCCAAAGAAGGCTGTAGCAGAAGCTGCAAAGTCTCTTGAGACCGAGATTCAGCAGTCCCACATTACTTCAACTACATTCTGTTGGTCACAGCAAATTACAAGTGAGCCCAGTGATGGGAGGAGCTGCAAAGACTCAAAAATCTACCAAGTGACCTTGGGCAAGTTACTTAACGCCTCTAAGCCTTAATTTTTTTAATAATCTATAAAATGGGGGTAATAGTAATACCTACTTTCTGGGGTGGTAGTAAGGATGAAATATGTTGTTACATGAAAAGTACAGCTGATAGTAAGAAGCTCAGTAATTGTCATCTGTTACTGTTCTCCTTGTGTTTTTGCCTAATGAAAGCCTGCCCATCCTTAAATGCCACCTTCTTCCTTCCTACAGCCTTCTGTAACTTTTTTGTCTCTTGGAAAATACATTGTCTTAGTGTCTTATTTGATGGGTAGTATATTGCCTTATATTACTGTTATGTATGTACACGACATAGCTCATCTGCTGAAGCCTGTAAGCCTCTGGAGGATGCAGGCCAGTGTTCATGTACCTTTTTGTAGGAGTCCCTGTGCCTAGTTCTCAATGATGTTTAGTGAATGAATTCCATATTATTCGAAAGAAGATACAAGCATTTGTTTTCTGTTGTTGTAATTTGGTCTAGTAAGTACTTTTAGTCAAAGTAAAGAAATAAAAATGTGAAGGGAAAAATTAAGTTCTCCAGATATAAGGTCTCACTATTTACTGTTTAATTAAATTAGGCATATTCACATGGAGAAGATTTTAATTCGCTGAGGGGAAAAAATGGCTCAATTTTACTCTTCTAAAAAATAAATGAATATTTAATTTAGAGTTAAATTGGAGAGAGTTAGAAAAAGAGATTTAAAATCAATAAAGTGCATTTTATTTTAATGGTCATTTCACTTATTTTCTAACTCCAGGGGTTATGAATTCTGAACTTTAATTAGATCAAAGAACTTTGAAATCTTAGTAAAAAACAGGGTCTGTTGGTTTTTATAAATGTACATAATAAAAAGGCTTTGTTTTTCTAACTTGTGATCATTTCTTGTTGTGCAAAATAAATGTGAGTGCTTCTATAACATTCTTAAGGAATCTTGTGTAGGAATCAGGTTCAACTTGCCTAATGCTAATAGCATGAAGTCGGGGTACAGTGTGGAAAGGTTAAAAAAAAAAAAATCTTGCATCTGCTGTTACATGTTGTTAACTCCCTCAGCAGACTTTAAATCATTTCAAGTACAATGATAGTGTGGGAGGTAAATTAACTAACCATTAACAATCTTATAAATACACAATTAACATGCCAACATTTATATGACACATTGATGGGGCAGCAGTAATTTTTGATTGGGAGTTTGCAGACCTTTGAGAAGCCCCAGGCTGTTGCTTATTCAGACAGGTTTTCACAGATTGCAGGTGAGGGCAGCTTGAAGTCTGTCTGGCAAAGGGAAGTGAGTGTGTAGTGTTTTGAAAGTCCAGGAAAAACCACTGGCTGGACTTGAGCATTTGAAGTCACGTTACTATCTCAGGTCCTTAGGGAGTGAAGAAGTATAAGGAGGGCGCATTTGCTTCTGGTGGGGTTATTTAAAGAGATAATATTTTAGGTATGGACTTTGTAGCTGAAGTTGCATGAATTTCTAGGGATTTTCAGAAAGATACTTAGACCTAACTGGGGATTTAAAGTAAACCCTTCTCTGTGGTTTCAGGTCAACAAGTAGATGATCTCTGGAGTTCATTTCATGTGTAAAATTTTATGATTTTTAGTTTTGAACAATTATTAAGTGTGCTGCTTCTTTCTTGCTGTTGTACAAATCACTGTTGCATTAGTGGAGGGAAGGCTAAGGGTCTAGTCTACTGCATAACACATTTACTGTCTTACATCTTTCACAAGGACCCACAAATTTCTCTCAGGCCCTGGAACTCAACAACAGGATTTAAAAAAATCATGTTTATTATAGCTGTTGTAGTTTTTGTTCCTCTTTGTTTTGAGAGGCTATAGAGTGGTTAAGATCCCAAGCTCTTGGGTTTATTGGTTCTATTTACTTGGTTCTATTTACTTATTAGCGCTCTGGGTTTGGGCAGGTTTCTTACTTTGCCTCAGTTTTTTCATCTATAAAATGGGGGTAAAAATAGTTACCATCTTATGGGGTTATTTTGAGAATTATATGAATTAATCCATGTAAAAAGGGAACAACAAGTCTAGCTTTTATAATAAGTTAAGGTTAGTTATTATCATTGCTTTTTGCTTCTGGGATTCTCCATTCTACCTGCAGAAAATGTACATGGCATGCACTGGCTTATGGATTCATATTAAGTTACTTCCCCTTTGCCCATCTACTTTTTTACTGTCTTGTACCTTATGCTTTTGTTTTTGTTTTTTTTAATAATACATTGCAAATAAAGTTTGGAGGGTGTATGTGTATAAAGTTATTATTAAGAATATACTTATATTAAGACTTGATACCCATTTAAGCCCACTAAAAATTTACTCCCCTGTTAGGACGTGCTTCAAGTTACCACAGGTAGGTTACATGATCATTAGTGAACACAAATCAAATGGTTATGTGAAGTGGTAATAGCATCCAAGTTGCACCTGGAACCACACTTAGCATACAGTAGGAACTTAATAAATATTTGTTGAATGAATGAATGAATGAAGTATGAAAGGAGACCATCCGGTACATTAAAAATGGCCATGTCATTTTGGGACATCTCTTACTATCCTCCCACTCACTCTCTGTGGTTGTCCCTTTTGCTTCCTTTTTTTTTTCTGGCTGTATTGGGTCTTTGTTGCTGCGCTGCGCGCGAGCTTTCTCTAGTTGCAGCGAGCGGGGGCTTCTCATTGCGGTGGCTTCTTCTGTTGTGGAGCATAGGCTCTAGGCGTGCGGGCTTCAGTAGTTGTGGCGCATGGGCTTAGTTGCTCTGTGGCATGTGGGATCTTCCCGCACCAGGGCTCGAACCTGTGTCCCCTGCATTGGCAGGCAGATTCTCAGCCACTGGACTACCAGGGAAATCCCTGCTTCCATTTTTAGTAAAACAAATCTTTATGCTTTGAGGAACCTGGAGTTAGAAAGTGGGAAAATCTGAAAAGTAGGACATCTACTAACAATCTAATTATTGTTTATCTGATAGCTTAATGGTATATATTAAAAAGCACTGACTATCTCGGAGAGTCAAGAATTGGTGACGTTCAGGGAAGGCATTCAAGGCCATTTGTAAAAGTGAAGAGCAGCATCTCTAAACCATGTCTGTGAAACTCAGTTATACATTGATATGTTTTAGTGTTTCTAGAGGAAAAAATGTTTAGGGATCAAATAAGCTTGGAATTTGGAATATATTACGTTACTAGATTACCCCCTCTTGGAGATTCACAATATATAATACATTAGTAGTTTAAAAACTTTGAGAAGTGCTGTAATTAAACAGCAAGAAAAAAGCCTATTTAAATTTGTGTAATCTGGCATTTAACAGACATTAAAAAATTGTGGTAAAGTATGTACAACGTAAAATTTACCATTTTAACCTTTTTTTTTTTTTTTGCGGTACGCGGGCCTCTCACTGTTGTGGCCTCTGCCGTTGCGGAGCACAGGCTCCTGACGCGCAGGCTCAGCGGCCATGGCTCACGGGCTTAGCCGCTCCGCGGCATGTGGGATCTTCCCGGACCGGGGCATGAACGTGCGTCCCCTGCATCGGCAGGCGGACTCTCAACCACTGCGGCACCAGGGAAGCCCCCTAACCATTTTTAAGTATACAATTCAGTGGTATTAAGCACATTCACATTGATGTGCCATTAATACCATTCATCTCTAGAACTTTTCCATCTTCCCAAACTGACACATACCTATTAAACACTTACTTCCCAATTCTCCCCTCCCCCCAGCCCCTGGCAAAGACTATTCTACTTTCTGTCTCTATGAATCTGACTACTCTAGGTACCTCATATAAGTGGAGTCATGAAGCATTTGTCCTTTTCTGACTAGCTTATTTCATTTAGCGTAATGTCCTTACGGTTCATCCATGTTGTAGCATGTCTTAGAATTTTCTTACTTTTTAAGGCTCAATAACTTTCCATTGTTACGTGTTTACCACATTTTGTTTATCCATTCTTTACCAAGTATTTTTAATTACTGTGTAGTATTCCGTTGTATGTATGTGTCCTGGCATATGCAATGTTGATGGATATTTAGGTTACTTTCAGATCTTCAGTATTACAATCCTGAGATAAATATTTTTGCAGTTATTTCCTTCGAGCAGATCCTAGAAGTGGGGTTGTCCAAAGGGTATTCATGTTTTACACTTTGATATATACTACCAAATTACCCTCTAAAAAGTCCCAATTTTCATTCCCTCTTATAGTGCACAAGAGTGCCCATTTCTCTGAACCCCTGCCAGCATTTGGTTTTAAAGATCTTTGACCTTTGCACAACTGATCAGAGAAAATAACTTGCTTTTTTGTCTGTGTTTGGAATATCTTTGTTTTAGAAATCATATCTACCTTCAAATGATAATTTGCTGCTGTCCAAGTGATTTAAAATGTATTCTTTTGGTTGTGAAAAGTAGTTTTGGCATAAGTTGATAGTGACAATTTTGAAGGGTGACAATTTTGAAGGGCACATTGTAGAGAAGCTCTTGTGCCTTTATTAATTTTTTTTAAAAGCAATTCTTTCTTTATAATCACACTTACACACGACATGCTCATATATGACTTATCTCTGAAACAAAATTGTGTAGTCCTTGGAAGTCAGACAGCAACATTTATTGAATTCCAGCTGTGTGTAAGATTCTTTGTTGCCAGAAAGGATATGGTATTATGGCCCCTGTCCTTGTGGAACTTCCAGTCTGAATCCTCAAGTACATCATAGGAGGTGGAAAACATGTTTCCCAGGGCAGCCCTGTGGGAGCCCTGTCAGAACTGGAAGTGAATAAATATTTGTTGAGTGATTCCTACAGATTCCTCACTGTATGAAGTCATAGTGTACTAATAGAGAAGGTATCTGCTCATGTTAGGGCGTTTTGGGGGCTTCTGTTAGGATAGTTAGGGAGTTGGTATGTGCCTTCAGAAGTGTTTGCCCATAACTTTTCTTCATAAGAGGTGATGGAACAGGTTCATTTTCCTGAAAAAGATTCTGTTGAAGGTACCCCAGTGTAGTTTTGCCGCTTTGTCCTTTGACTTTTTGGTGCCAGAACACCCATTAAATATGTGGCTTCTCACTGAAAGCCCTTGTTTTTGCAGGGGAGAACTAATCAATATGAAGTTGAAAACACCTGCCCCTATGCTGGTGCCTAGTTGCCTCACTTTCATCGGGAAGATGCTTGTCGTGATTGCTACAAAGATGTTTGTAGATCTGTTGATCTGTGATTCCATGGTTCTGTTACAAAACAAATACTGTCATAACTAAATCTATGGTTGTATATGTCTTTGTGGTTATATAAGAACTTATTTTTACAAGTGAAACTTAAATGCTTCCCTTTATTTCTGTAATTTTTTTCTGATTAATACACTTAAAGTGGTGGGCTGACATTATTGTTTCTGCGACTAAATGTCTCAGATATTTGACACTTAGAAGAATCCCATGATATTAGGAAATATACTAAGTCTATATTAGGGTATAAACTTTTTGACTCAGGCATACCTTACTCACCTTTGCATTTCCTGTTAGCTTCAGTGTAAAGTAAGTACTTAGTGAATATTTAAGGGAAAAAATGAAAATTAATGTAATTCACTTGATCAGAGATGCTCCTTAGTCAAACTTACTCTTAATCTCAGTATCTTTAAGATCCACCAGGTGAGGTTAATAGAAGGATATGTTGCCAGACAAAAAATTTAAAAACTTCAGTTAGCTATAATGATTTTTAAACTAGATTTCCCCCTATGTTCCATTTCTAGAAGAAACAAATGACAAGAAAATCTGGTGTTCTAGGTCTTTCTAAAAATAAATATCTTCTAGGACTGTTCCTAGGAACATATTCAGTCTACGGTTCACATTCCTTGCACTTCATAATGGTTTTAGAGGAGCAGGGAGGTGACCCAGATGACCTGCAGAGTCCTGTGTTACAAAGGAAGCATGCACTTATTTTACCTGCTGTGAACTTAACGATAGAAGGATAAATTGTTGATATATTTTAGGATTATTTTAAACAAGAATTGAAAACTGAAGTTGGTAATGATATTTTTACCATCAGCATCATCATTATTACTAATAACAGCTAATTTTAAATTATGTACCAGCTGTTCTTTTGAGCATTTTACCTACCTAATATTCTATATATCCTTTCTTCCCTGCAATCCCCATTTCACAAATGAAGAAAGAAAACAGGCTCACTGAGGTTAAAGTTATTTTGACCAAGATCACATAGCTAGCAAGTGATAGGGCCAGGATTTGAACCCAGTTCTGCCTATAGGCCCTTAGGTTCCTAACTACTGTTCTGTAATATTTTCTTTGTTGAGTATTCCCATTTAACTGAGGAGGTACCATTTTGTTCCCAGAATAAACATTGTTACAGTTTTAACAGGATTCAGGAAGCAGTTCTTATAATTAGGTTTCTAAAATAAGAAATTAATCTGGTAGCTGACAAGTTTGATTAATAAGTTTTATTTTAAAAGCACAATACTATCTTAAATCAGAAGGAAGAAAAATGTATTTATTGAACAAAATTACTTTGGTGGTCCGTTTTTGTAAAATTCCTGGTAACTCAGGAAGCATTGTCTGTGCCCTTTTAGACATTTCACAACCATATGGCAGGAGGGGGAAATGTAAACTGAAATACAGTTTCATGCTTTAGCACATCGTTTGAGGAAAATACAGCTTGTTCCCCCATGACCTTATAAAGTAATGAGAAGACTGCATGGGAATGAAGGGAGAAAGAAAGGAAAATTTATTGTTTTAACAGTGGTTATATACTTTGAATGGCCTAAGGAGTTACTGTTACTTGTTTTGTAAAAGAGTAAGCCATCTTCTCTGATACCATGGAGATCTCATTGACTAGAGTGGTAGCCCCTAGAGCTTATAAGGATTTCCTTTCAGCTTGGACTTAATCCTTTTAAGCTCCTAGCTACAGGGACAAATGTTGATTTTCAAGGTAGCATTTTACCACATTGAATTTGTTTGAAAAATGATTCAGTCATTTTCTGCCTTATTCTTAAATGTTGCTGTGTACATCGTGTTTCTAGGTAGGTGAGCCCGTGAAACAATATGAAGAGAAGAAAATAGCCTTTTAAGGAAACTGGCCCACAGAAAGGATGGCCTTCTTGGACAATCCAACTATCATTCTAGCTCATATTCGACAGTCACATGTGACCAGTGATGACACAGGAATGTGTGAGATGGTTCTCATTGATCATGATGTTGACCTAGAGAAGATTCATCCTCCTTCAATGCCTGGAGACAGTGGGTCAGAAATTCAGGGAAGCAATGGTGAGACTCAGGGCTATGTATATGCCCAGTCAGTCGATATTACCTCAAGTTGGGACTTTGGTATTAGAAGACGCTCAAATACAGGTAAACGTTGCCTTTTAGTCATGTCTTCTGAGCTTTAAATCAGTAAACAATCTTATAGAATAATGCATAATGTTGGCATGGGTTTAATGGGGAAAGTTACTGTGCATTAACAGGAATGTGCATGTATTACACTAACAGTGAGTCTAAGGAATCTCTCCATCTCTGCGACTGTGAATGGAGAGAGTCTCTGGAGTGATGCTGTTAGAAGGAGGTAGACAGAAGAGGGATAAGGAAGCAGACAGAGGAAGAATAGGTGAAAAAGTTGGCTATGAGAGGAGCGTTCTGTTTCTAAAAAGTGACTGTGTAGAGAGGGAAGTGGACTGTTTCGTGTATCTTCACAGAGCAACATTATTCCCAGTAGACAGACTACCTGGAGGCAGATTTCAGGTTGACATGATAAAGAAACTTTAATACAGAGAGCTGACCAGCCAAGGGTGCTGCTGCCCGAGACAGTTCTTGCCCTGGAGGAATTGTAGCGGGGTATGGGGTTCGGAGGGAGGCTACTGAATATTTGTTAGGCCTGCTTTTAGTAGGAATTCCTACGCTGGGTGTGAGATTAGAAAAGGTGCCCTGTTTTTGATACATTACCATTATTTAGTTGATCTCTACCCTTTGATAATTGTGGCTTGAAAATGCTCAACTTTAGCATATATCTATTTAGTCGTTAGCTTTGAAACACTTATCATTCCCCTTTTCCAGCTTAAGTTTTTTGGGAGCATTTCAAGGGCAATGTGATAAACCAAGTCCTTTACTTAGATAAATTATTTAGACTTTATAATCTAGTTCAAATATGACAGGGTATTCTACAAAATAATTTTTTTTTTTAGATAATCAAAAAAAATAATCTCCTAATCAGTAGCAATAACCTGCTAACTCCCAGGAAAAGTAACGGCAGGATATATAGTAGAACATTGAAAATATTTATATGTTTATTTTCACAGTCCAAATGTAAAATGTATGTAAAGGAGTACTGCAGGTAGAGCAGGATACAATTCACAGTGCAAAGCATGTTAAGGTTTTGGTTCAGAATTCAGCATTCTGTGACATCTACAAAGAATAATTTGCTCTTGTGATGAAAATAATTAATAGCATTTCCCAGTATCTAAAGGAACTTTTATCAAAATAGGATTTGAGTGAAGGTTTGAATATAATTTAGAACCATTGATTCTAGGTTCTCTAGTTGAAACTGACTTCCTTGCAAGTTATTGAGATGATATCTTTTATGACAGGTTGAATGGATTTCAGTAGGAGAATGCTGCTAAATTGAGAGCTTTATGATTATATTACTTTGCTGTACCCTTCACATTTATTAATTGCAATTGAATGTATTTTTCTTCCGTGGAATTTGGTTAGATATAGTGACATTGTCAGAATGCTTTTGCCAGCATAGTTTAATTTTCTGGCAAGATTAGTTTCAGTGTTTCCCTACCACAAGGCTAAGGCAGGAATGTAAGATTTCCTATCTTGGAAATGGTTGCAAGAAAACTTTATTTTATTTATTTATTTTATTAGCGTTGTGCCAGGATAGGAAGCTGAAGATTAGCAAGAGGAAACTAATTTGAAGAGGTGACATCAGTTGTGACTTTCTTTTCCATTGTAGTCTCCGTTTGCAGCAGTTGTTAATGTATGCTGGACAGTATTTCTTTAAAAGATCAGTTCACTGACTTTTGAAGGTTGATCAGCCAGTGGTAATATAATCACAAATGCACAATTTTAGATGATGCTTTTGTTTTTGTTGTTGGAATTTCTTAAGCTAGTACTTGGATGCTAATAATTAATTAGGATTGTGAGGTATCCTAGCGACCAGGGAATTTACTTTTTAATCCTTTCAGCATATCTTAAAATTTTGTATAAGAAAAATTGTTCTTTTTAAGATTTGACTAATGTTACAAAGATACAAATCATTTATTTTACTACCTATAAACTGTTTCAGCCCACTGAAGAAAAGCTATGCTAATTTATATAGCTTTGACATTTTATAATTTTCATGATTTTTAGATAAAGGATTTTATATTTAAAACTTTAATAGTCTAGTCTGAGTTCATTTATCTTTAATTTTTGAAACGGGTAGAGTAATTCATAACAGTAATTTTATTCCTGTAATGTAATATTCACTTCAGTTCATTTGTGCATTAAAATTCCTTTAAGACCGTTATTAATGATTTATATAATGAAATGTCATATTAATCACAGAAGTTTTCACATTTTATTATTCTCTTCCATGTTAATACTATCTTTATGATCTCTATTAATGTTTTATATCCTCTAATTTCAATTATAAATCAAGAATATTTTCATGTTTTTGTTGGTATTTGCTTTTCAGGGGTGCCACCTTTAAAATTTTATGACTTTTTCCCTACATATGCAATATAAAACATCTTTATTCATATAAAGGTAGTTAATTATGTCTTTGTTTATAGTAGACTTTCATTGACAAACTTATAGTTATAATATTTCTTTTCAAGCTCAAAGATTAGAACGACTCCGAAAAGAGAGACAAAACCAGATCAAATGCAAAAATATTCAGTGGAAAGAAAGAAATTCTAAGCAATCAGGTAAATTGAAATAATTTTAATTGTTAATTTGAGATTTATATATTTAGTTTATATTATTATATAAGAGCTTTTAATTTTAATTCATCCTTTTAAATCCTCGAGGCAGATACCTCTGTGTTTTAAGCTTTGAACTCTTTCACTTGGGTGCCTTGGCCTGCTGAAGCTGTGTGTTCTTTAGGTCTTGTCTTTTTGGCCACTCCTTCTCCTGGATCACAAGAATTGATGAGTGCAGGGCATATTTTGTAGAAACTGTTGTACCAGTACCTTGTTCTTAGAGCCAAGGTGTACCTATGATTTGGATGGGCCTCTGGATTGTAGGTCCCTCCTGGCAGTTCTAACCTAGACTTGCCCTTGCCTCATTAGCCCCAATAACAATCTTTTTTGCATATATGCTAATTCTTTTCCTTTAGCTTACAGACCATTATGTTGCTGGTATTAGCATTTGCAGTATGTGTTCATGTGGTATGTATTGATACATTAAAAAGCTGGCTGTCTTATATATTTTCAAAGCTTCAATCTCAGCAGGGAGAGAAGACTTTTTAAGAAAGTACAAAATAGAATGCTATTAAAATATTTTCTAATGTTTTATCATGTTTCCTAGACTTTTTTTTTTTCTTCCTTTGAAATAAATGTCTGCAGTTGTCTTTTATATCTTCTTAGCACCTCCCACTACCACTCTGGCATATAATACATGTCCAATCAATTTTTGTTGACTGACTCCTTTGCTACATAATATTTATGAAACCAGTAATGTTAATGATTATCACTTTAACAGCAGCACCTACGTAGTGCTGTGGTAAGTACCTTATGTGCATTACCTCCAATGCAATGGTCTTAGAAGGTGTAGGTATCATTGCTGTCGTTAACAGACGAAACAGAGGGTCACAGAGGCTTAACTTGCTAAAGTTACAAGGCTAGGAAGTGGTGGTGCAGTAGAGCCATGTTTTGTATCTAGCACTGTCTGCACGTAAAGGCCAATCTCTTTCTGCTAAACCATGTCATATAAAGTGGTTATTGCTTTCTCCTACTGTAACTGTAAACCCAGGAGTGTTCAATGGGTATGATTTTCTTAATGATTGCTTCTAAATAACGACTGTTTAGAATGAGATATCCACTTCTTTCTCTTTTTTGTATCTCACTTCCGTGACTTCCTATAGTTCTTCTTGAATGTCTTTTTAGTTTTGCTCTTGGTACTTTAAAAATCTCTCCAGGCTGGCCTTTTCTGTTGATCTAGTTAATACTTCTCTCCGTTATATTTAGCATAAACTGGAAAACCCTTATATCGTTTATTTTGTCTACTTTCTTCAATATTTTTGCATGTCTTAATGTTTTTCCTATTTATCTCTCCTTAATGAAGTCAGAGCCAGTTTAATAAGCCCATCGCTCCAGCTACCCTTTGTTTTGCCTTCACTTCCATATCTTAAAATGATCATAAATAAATAAATTAATAAATAGAGTAGAGCATCTCAAATGTATCTTCATTAACCCCTTTCACAATGTGAGAAGTAATTTCTTCAGCCTACATTTTGATGCATCTAATAAGTTTTGGTACTCCCCCGCCCACTCCTTAAAGTCTAATCCACTTTAACTTTTGTTCAGTGTTTCACAGAATGTGCTGGAGAAACAAATAGTCCCCTGTTGGCTTTCATTTTAACCACACTGTCCATTATGTATATCTGCTTCTCTCTCCCTCAGTTTCCTTCCCTTTATTTCTGTCTCAGAGATTTCAGTAATTGACACTGTGATCTTATTTCTGGAAGAGCTCCTTAATGTGCCTGCCCATGCTTTGAGATGTTGACCTTGATTCTGGCCAGACCAGTAGCCTGCCTGGTGGTTACTCTTGATGGTTAGGGTGAACCTCGTCAATGCACAGAAGAATGCCTTTGAATTTTCTGTTAAGCTGGGTTCTATCATTACCACAGACTGGCACTCTGGTTATCCTGAAATGTGTTAGAAAAGTGGAGTTCGCAGTCCATTAAACATCTCCCTGGCAAATGGATCAGCCATTCTATTTTCACACATCTCTCAAATACATACTCTCTTTTGGCAAGAAATGCCACCACAAAATCATTTTGATATTAATTGGGAATTTTGGCTAGGTAATCATTCATTCATTTCCTCATTCTTTTTCTGCTAATTACATTTTGTGAAAAATCCTTTCATCTGTTTTTTATCTTTGTTTTATTTCATTTCCCACTAGAAGAATCATCATTATGAATATGATGACCTCCCATGGAATGTTCTTTTTCCACACTTATTCTATCTGCTACATCCAGTTTATTCTTTAAGATACTGCCTAAATGCTTCCTTTTCATAGAGGAGTTAGAAGGGATCTTAGAAACCATCTGGTCCATACCTCGAAGTTCTTTATGAACCTACTGACCCATATGCCACGAGACCACATGGTAAATGTAATACCTTATAGTAAGATTCTTTTAGTATTTCTGTAACTAAAACTGCATGGATAAATGTGAAGACGATGTCATTGGAAGACAGCTTTGTCAGGATTAATCTCAAATCAAAGACCAGTATTTTTAATTTTATTGTTTTAAAATGGTGTTGGTATATTATTTACAAAATTGATTATTCTTATTTATTGAGTCATTTAACAAGTATTTCTTTTACAACTTCTGTGTGCGTAGTAATTCTGTGCTAGGTGCTTTGGGGAATACATGATTCCTGTCCTTAAGAAATTTGAAGTCTAATTGGAATTCAAGGCTATTTACATGTGAAGTTAAATAATAACTTAAAACAGTAATGTAGTTTTTATCAGTTACTTATGAATATTCCTGAAGTTTTCTTACTATAACTTCTATTATTGGTTTCTTAAGACAACAGTTCCCAGATACAATGGCTGTATAAAAGTCAGAAATGCATCCAAAAGTACACATTATAATGACATTCTATATACATTTCTAGGCCCTGTCTGTGTAATTCCTGGTTCAGTAGGTAGAGGTTGGGGTCCACAAATATATATTTTTCAGAAGCTCACTGGGTGATTCTGATGGGTAACCAGCTCTGAGCACCACTGGATTATAATATGCCAGCCACTAACTTTACTTCATCTTCATGCAAGCAGAGCAAATTAGCTGTTAATATTTCTGTATTATTGGTGGGAAAATTGGAGGACAGAGGCGCTAACTAACTTTCCCAAGTTACTTACTTACAAGTAGTTACAAAGTCAGAATTCTCCTGGCCAGTCTGATCCCAAACACTGTAGTCTCTCCACTGTGCTCCATTCTCTCCCATACCATAGGCAGAAAGGAGCTGCTCCTGGAGCTTTGAATATTGAGGAGTCTTTGGGGTTCCCTTGTACCTTTCTTTCTCTGTGTGTCAGCTACAGCCAATGTTCAGGAAAGGTACCAAAGCTTCTATATTAAAAACTTTCAGTTGAAAATAATGAAAAGCAAGTGAAGTCAAAGTTGAAGAGCAGCTTGAAGTTGAGCAACTCAAGAAGTATAGCTGTGTCTTATGAATGGCTTAGAACCAGGAAGAAGGGCTCTGTGACCTTTTCCAATCTTATCTCTGCTTTTTTGTGACCCTCTGCTCTCTCCTTTCCTCCTCCCATTCTGCTCCCTATCCCCACAACTACTTTTTCTGCTTTTCTGATCCAGAGTTATTCATTCAACAAGTATTTATTTAGCTCCCACAGTATGCAAAGGCAGTTATGCACTATTATAGGTCTAGAAGGTAGAGCAGTGAACAAGACAAAGTCCCTCCCCTCGTGGAGGTTGTTAGGGAGAAAGGCATTTAAACGAACATAGGAGGTCAGGTGTCAGAATGGGAGAAGTGGCATAGAAAACAATATCCCCCAACTAAGGTCGGTAAGGAATGCTAGGCATGGGATTGTGCTGTTTTATATAGGGTGATCAGGGAAGGTCTCATTAGGAAGGTGGTGGATGAGCAGAGATCTGAAGGAAGTGAAGGAGTGAGCCAGGCAGATACTGGGAGATGAATGTTCTAAGATGAGGGAACAGCAAGTGCAAAGGTTCTGTGGCAGAAGTGTGACTGATGTACTCAAGGAATAGCAAGGAAGGATGCTTGTTGGTTAGAGTAGAGTAAGCAAGGGAAGGAGTGAGGTCAGAGAAGTAAGTAGTGGGAGACCTGATCATGCACAGTCCTATAAGGACCCTGGGTGAGGTGGTTTGATCAGAGTACTGATATGATGTGTGACTTACTTTTTACTTTTTTTTTTCCTAGCTTGAATTTCATTTAAAACAACTATTATAAAATTTTTCAAACACAAAAACAAAGAAAAAAAATTTTCAAACATATACAAAAGTAGAGAGAATGGTGTCATGAACCCCACGTGCCCATCACCCAGCTTCAGCAGTTAGCAATATATGTTTCGTCTTGTGTCATTTAGACATTCACCTCCCCTCCCCTCCCAGATTATTTTTAAGCAAATCCTAGCTATCATATAATTGCATACCTAAATACTTACGTGTTTGTTTATTTATTTATTATTTATTTTATTTTTGGCTGCATTGGGTCTTCGTTGCTGTGTGCAGGCTTTCTCTAGTTGCGCCGAGCGGGGGCTACTCTTCGTTGCGGTGCGTGGGCTTCTCATTGAGGTGGCTTCTCTTGTTGCGGAGCACGGGCTCTAGGCACGTAGCTTTGGCACGCGGGCTCAGTAGTTGTGGTTCACGGGCTCTAGAGCACAGGCTCAGTAGTTGTGGCACACGGGCTTAGTTGCTCTGCGGCATGTGGGATCTTCCCGGACTAGGGCTCAAACCTGTGTCCCTTGCATTGGCAGGCGGATTCTTAACCACTGCGCCACCAGGGAAGCCGTGTGTGTTTTTTAACATGTAATAAAACTGCTCTACCACTATCCTCCAAAAATTAGCAGGAATTCTTTACTATTATCAAATATTTTCCTGATTGTCTCAATTTTTTTCCTGCCACCCCCCATTTTGTTTGTTCAGGTCTAGATCTAAGGTCCACACCTTACTTTTGGGCAATGTGTCTCATTTCCTTTTTAATCTATAGATTCTCTTTCA